GCGGCACTGCCGTCCGCGGCTTACCTGGGAATCAGCATCAACGGGGGTGCCGGACTGCCACAACAGAGCGACAGTACCACCACGTCGACTGGCGTCTCCACAGACGCCTACTCCCTCACCACGAGCAGCAACTTCTTTTCGGCGGCCGAGAGCTCCGTGGAGAGTCTCCGAGTAAGCGCTGAAGGGTCCTAGTGGGCTGGCGAGGGTATTTCGGGTACATTGAAACATGAATACCTTCTCGTTATCAGATATCGGGCGGGAACTGTCCGGTCGACTCGTCGAATTCACACAGTAGCGTGCCGCGCGTCTGTCCGAACCGCCTTTTCGTCAACGATGACGAGGCCTCTCCGGCGTCCTCCCACTTCTCCACACTCTCCTCGCACCTCTCCTCCTCGGACGGTGGAGTGGGCAGTGTGGACGTTGACGACATCTCGCCACCGCTCTCCCTTCTCGGCGCCTCCGCCGACAATCGACCCGCGTCGAGTGCCGCCGCGGCGAAGGCTCGAGAGGGGACGCTTGTGGCACCGGTCAATTCCCATCAGCCGGATCCCTTCGCACTCTACGCCTCGTATGCTGAGAAGGAAGGCGATCCGGCCACGTGCGATCAGATCCGCAAGGACATCCACCGGCAGTTCCCTTTCCACGAACTGTTTTGCTCAAAAAATAGCGGAGGGTGAGTTGGTGGCCTTGTGGGTGCTAATTGTCAGTTGTTGAAGTCTTCCACCGACCTGTGCGCAAAAACAGTCCAACCTTGTGAAATGGGATTTAAATTACACACACCCCGGTGTTTAAATTATAACTTGACTGTGTATGGATTATGCGAGGGCGTGTAGGATGCCAGTTCGTCTTCCGGACAACTGTGGCCAAAATCGATTGATCGGAGGGCCTTTTGAGTCAAAGAAAACATGTCCACGGGTTCCGGAATTGGGGTAACTTCACAGTTCGAAATTTCACGCAGAAAGTAACTCCACAAGACCGGTGCATGCAGTAGATATGCAGCCTAGGGTGATGCGAAGGCAGGAAGAGGGTCAAATGGGAATTAATCAGTTGGTTGTCTTTCTCAGGAAGGGTGACACGCACTATAACGCGCCTACTGAGAGGGGACCTAAATTGGGAGATGACTGTTAGCCCGTCCCTCTTAGATAGCCACACCATCATGGTTAGCTACCAGGCACACGATAGAAGAATAGCTGGAAGAACCGGATGTATTCCATACTTCTACATACAAACTCAGAGGGCTAGAGCTTAGGGAGAGTTAGTGTGGGGATAGGGATGGCCGCGAGGAGGGTTGGTGTTACCCTCGGACTCACGGGCGTGCCTTGAGGAAGGCAAGAGTGTGGGAAGGGAGAGGAGGACAAAGAACAGGCCAGACCGACGTGCGTGGGTCGAATGGCGCGCGTCACAGCACACCTATCAACTGCTAACCCATCAACACCAAGAAAACCTGCTGAGAAGGTATTGATTCACTCCTGTCCTTGGAGTGATGCCGAGTTCCAGAGAAGTAGTCGAGTTGTCTGGAGGTGAGTGGGAGAAGGAGCGCTGTCTTTGTGGAAGGGAACTTGAGAACTCACTGTGTTTGAAATCGCCTTGGACGGTGTGCTTTCGTGGAATGCGCTGCTGTAATCAAACAGGCGTTTATCACCACGGAAGCTTGAATGGTGGTGACCTTGTCTGAAAGTGGAGTAGTTAAATGATTTCTTAGGCGTCGGCTGCTGGGAATGTGGCTAAAACTTTGTTTTGATTACTCAAACAGCCCTAGGCACATTGTCCACATCCACATTTCCCAGCACCTGCCTTTTTGAATTGGCGCTGTTTCTTGAAAATCGATCTGGAAATTGGTGTTTAAATGAGGTGTCATACGATCGGTGACCATTTCTTCACGACTGCCATGGAATGTTCAAAGAAGCTGAAAGTCGTGGTATTTCATGATGAATTGGTTGGCGCGGATCACCGAGTTTACTCTAATCCAACTTCTAGGCCAGTCTCTGACTGGAACTGTAGCAAGCAGGGTTGATTATCACGTCGATCCCTGAGTAGTTATCAAAAACAATAAATTAAATGCTTGCTAAAGTCTTAGTGAAACGGCAAAACATGCATTTGCATAAAATAAACAGGTGGTTCGAGGTTCCGTGAAGTAATTTGTCGTGTTGTTTACCAATTTTTTAGGATAAAGCCACTAAATTTAAAAAAAACCCTGCATGTTCCCCTGCGTTTAATATATTAGGATAGCTCTAATTGATTACTCGGAACTGGCGCAAGCCAAAGTGTACTCGCGTTCACACGAAACTGGTTTTGTTTTGTTCCACCCATTCACAATTAAACTTGACTGACAGCATATTTTGGGCGCATCTAATTGGTCACTTTGGCTCTAGTGAGTTAAATGTTGTTGGTGCTTTGAGCGGGCATATGCACGGCATGCCAAATTACCCTGCCTGTGACTTATGAGCAGAAAAACAAAGAAATTGCAACTTTTTTTGGAAAAAACAAATTTGGCCCCTGCAGAAATGGTTACTTTAAGTGACATGTGGCGCTGTGAATACCCGAAATTGACGCTATCTAGATGGACACACCATTTTTTTTCAACTGATAATCACACCTGCTAAATTTGCCCAATAGAGACAGGCTCAGGAATCCAGGAATTAAAATTTAATAAATGTTTGCATCAAATTAGCTTAGGGTGGCATCATAAATATTATAATTAGCACTGTTGATGGCTGTCTGATTGACAAAAGCTGAGTCACCTTATTGGGTAGTTGTGTAAAATCCTGATTGGCTTGTTTAAATTGCACCCAATAATCGTGACTGTTTAGAGGCTGATCACCTAATTGACTAGAGGGCCGGATGGATTCCAAACACCTTCAAAACATCATTTGATGCTGTAAGTAACATTCAATTTTGCTAAGGTTTGTAAATGTCAGCGTGAAATGGCCGACATCAGATCAGGTCTTAGTTAGGAAATTTAGCCTTGCCAAGCCATCAAGATTTAAACAAGTTCAGAGAACAGCAGTCACGAGAGGATGGTGAGAAGACGTTTAAAGATAGGCTTTCGATTTGCGTGTTTTTCCAGCCGACGTTGTAGATTCCTGAACGCTGCACCAAGGTCACACCGTCCACAGCCAAACGGATCGACCAAGTGGAGGTAATTGTTGGTTATGGTTAACCTTAGTGACCGATTTTCGTAGATATGTATAGGAGGTACTTTTAACTCAGCTGGTGTTGCTTGATGACGTTATCTTAATGCGTCATGAGTCGACAATATCTTAAAGACATGTTTGGTCAAATTAACTAACATTCAGAGTTAAAAGATTAGGCAGAAAATTACAGGCCACGTTTTCGTAATTTCATGTTTATGGTGGTCTAAACGTAGTCGCGTTCATGTGGATCATGCGCTGAAACTGGTAATTACACTGGATACCGCCATCTACAGCAACTCGGATGCAGAAAATCATCGTCTCCCACTTGTTGCTCAACAAACGCTTCTAGAACGTAGTGACTGCAAATAGGAAATAATTCAGCTTACGAAAATCCTCCAAATGCATCCGCGTTTAAATATGTACAAACAAGCATTTCAGTTGCAATTATCGATTTTTGTGATTCAGACGTCCACGTCTGGGGACTTGATGGCTGGGGAAATTGGACAACGTCCGATTAATGTTGCGTTAATTTCATTTTATTTTAAAAAACATCACTATAAGGAAATCGCCAAATAAATACAGAATGCTTTTAAGCACATTAAGAGGAAGTTGTAGGCAGTGTGGGGAATTATATTATTGATTAATAAGTGATCTTTTCTATAGAAATATGTTGAATTTCACTTACTTTCAAATTTAGCGCCATAATTTTCAATGAACCAATCAAAGTGAACTGTAACCTCTCCATTAAATTATTCAAGTATGGTTGAATCAGGCTTTTTCTAAATTTCAGATCACTTGTTTGAATGCTCTAGGTAAACTTTCGAATATATCATAAAAAATATCCAATTTTATGGCTTCTGACCTTTGGCCATGAAAGTAGCCAGGTAGAGGACTAGAAACATTTTATTTTGTAATTTTGTCTTGACCTCAGCCAACGAACGAATTTGCAGAATTTCTATGTCAAATAATTGAAGAATATGTTTATGCGTGTCATGCGAACTGAGCCACAAGTAGCTCGGCTGTCAATAAGAACGCTTTTGCCTAACTTAGAAATCAGCTAGTTGGAGGCGCGCATGACCGATTTCATGGTCGGCAAATGATATGATACGTGAAGCAAACAAATTCGATTGAACAGGTGAAAGAGACGTGATAGGTGCATGGAATCGTCATTTGAGCTGGCCAAGACTTGACCTCCAAAGGAAGGCTTTATCTGGAAGCTTTAACTCAGACGGTCTCTAACTAAACATGAATTATATGTTGCAAAATATACTACTATCTGGTTTAGTTTAAGTAGTCAAAAAAGTCACTGTTAAAACAGGAGAACTAGTTGCTAAAATTGGATATTTTTTGTTCAGACTACTAATTTGTCAGTTTGCTTTTCCCATGTTGGAAAACCGATCGATATTGTGCTTGCATTACAATTGGTTGACGCGGAAGATGGAAGAAGCCACGACAAACGTTGGTTAAACGAAGCACGTGCCACGAAACTTCCGCGCGCCTTCACCCTGTGTGTGATTATGTATTTGTTTTAATAAAGTGGCATTTCACAATCTTGTAAACATTGCTACTTCCCATCTATCATACACGATGACTCATTGCATAGGAAAGTTATAAAAACTGGCAACATTTGGATATTTTAGACATATTAACCACTTATGATTTTTGTCTTTCCGACAAAGTTTAGGCTTTTTCGGCACTGACATTTACTCAGTCAGCTTAAAAAAACCCGAAATTTCATTGAGTTGACGGTTAACAAATATGAGTTTCTCCGGATTTTCAAATAGTCATTGTCCTCAATCTGATTCGTCAGTGTGACTGAATTAATCAATCTATTGCTTTTAGCGAATCTTAGCTCAAAATTAACGTCTCGTGTGCATTCAAATCCAGTAGACTTAAGAATGTATTTAAATTTGGAAAAAAACACGTTAAAGTCGAAGGATTTGCATGGGGTCTGGGTTTGTACAAAGAAGCTAATTCCTCTAATAGTAGAAGCCAAATGACTTCTCGTGAAATGCGTTATTTTGGCGGAGAAGAGTGACAAGACCGGAAGGGATATTATTTGTGCCAAGAGTGTATTGATCCTTTTCGGCTCGACGGTGTTTCGAAATTTTAACAGAATTTGAAACGCCCTCTTTCTCAGTGAATCGCACATATCTGACTTGACGAAGACGTCAAAAATTCTTTCAAATCCCCTGTGTGGTTGAGGTGAGCTTAGTGAATTAAGGGAATTTTTAAAGATTGAGTAAAACAAATAATGCTGTAGTGTGGTTTGTGGTAATTTATTTGACCAATCAGATGACGGCTTTCCTTTCAGCTGACCAATAGAAAACATAGGATAGAGACGAGGAACATTTTCAATAACTAGGAAAGTGGACTGGTATTTGGTGCTGTAACCGACCTCAAATTGCATGCAAAGAACTCCCTAAATGTCTTTGATTAGATCTAACGGACGAAGATCAAAGATTCTCTGATTCACGATGAGCCCATGCAACCAGTGTAGAGTGTTTGCATGTCTAGACCAATGAAAAGTCAGAAGTCGTGGA